TAGCAGGAAAAAATAATAAAAAGTAGAGCAGAAATCAATGAAATTGAAAACAGGAAAACAACATTGAGAATCAATAAAACCAAAAACTGGTTTTAGGAAAAGATCAACAAAATCAACAAGCCTGTAGCCATGCTAACTGAAAAGGTATGGATTGAAGGGAAATGGGCAAGACAGAATTTATGAAAGGGGAAGTTGAGAGCATTAACTTGTTTATATGTCTCCAACTCTGTCCAAGGGAAACTGTGTTCTATCTAGCACAGTTGAGTATCTGCTTCAATTGGCAGGTTGTCCATAATGGGAATGATTGCATGCAGGTTTTTACAAGATATCACTACCTATCAAGTTAATCTTATTAATTTTACTGACTCTGAGTCATGGTGAAAAAGCAATCCCAAGATTATAATCTACCTCTTTTTTTTTAATTTTATTTTTTTTATTTATTTTATTTTATTTTTTTTAAAGATTTTATTTATTTTTCAACAGAGAGAGAGAGACAGCGAGAGAGGGAACACAAGCAGGGGGAGTGGGAGAGGGAGAAGCAGGCTTCCCGCTGAGCGGGGAGCCCGATGCGGGACTCGATCCCAGGACCCTGGGATCATGACCTGAGCTGAAGGCAGATGCTTAACGACTGAGCCACCCAGGCGCCCCTCTTTTTTTTTTTTAAGGAAGAGTTTTCTTTTCTTTTTAAAAAAAGGTTTTATTTATTCATTTGACAAAGAGCACAAGCAGGGGGAGCAGCGGGCTCCTTGCAGGAGCCTGATGCAGGGCTCGATTCCAGGACCCTGAGATCATGACCTAAGCCCAAATCAGACGCTTAACCAGCTGAGCGACCCAGGAGCCCCTATAATTTACCTCTTTATGTAATTATTTCTCTGGGGTGATAATGCCCTGACTGATTTACATAAGTTATCCAATGGTCTTGGTAGATGTAATTTGCATTGTTAATTAATTTACTAACAATCTAGGGTTATATAGGTGAAGGGAACTGAAACTCCTAACCCTGTCATCAGATGAGAAACTATCTGAACACAGAAGCATCCAGTGGCTTTAGGCAGGGCCATTTCAGTTCATGAGTATGCCTTTTGAAAATAAACAGAATCCTCACTACAGTAGAGTAGGAAGGATAGAAAAGGAGGTTAGAAGTGGAGCCAGTACCACTCAACATCAATTACCAGAAGAATTGTCAATTATAGACCCCAACAGAAGAATTTTAAACAGGGAAGAATCATCAATTACAGTCTCCAATGGGGAAAGAAGTACATTGCATCTTCTACAAAAAATCTACTACCCCTGCAACTCGGCCAGTGAGAAACCATCATCATGTATAACTCGTGTCCAGTGGATTTTCAGAACAATCTCTCCCAACGTCCTCCTTCTTCTCCATAAAATAATGTTCCTCTCCTTTGTTTGTTGTATTTGCCTATGGTTTTATCTTAGAGTGCATGTTCTGAATTGCAATTCTGTTATTCCCAGATAAAACCATTTTTGCTGGCTTTCTTAAGGTTAACACCTTTTGTCATGAAAATTAGGCCAGAAATATGATTTTAACATAACAAAGCCATGTTGTTTCAGAAGGCAACTAACAGTCTTAGTAAGAAAATGTGTTTTCCAGGTGGCAAATGTGTTTGCCTTGAGGTATATCTGAAGATAAAGTAGTTATAGCTACATTGGTGGAGACAACTAAGTATTGGTTAAGGACCCACTCATAAAACCAAAGCTTATCCCCCCACCAGGGATCTGTCAGAAGTCTCAGCAGTGGAATACTTATTGGCATCTGGCTGACGCCAGCAGAATTTGACAGACTCAAGGGACTTGGAATAATACACAGACGTATAGTGAAATAGATAATTTCATTTTGTAGTCTGCAAATATTTATTGGGCACCTATTGTGTATAAGACCTATTCAAGGACCTGAATGTATATACCAGTGAATAGAGTCCCTGTTTTAATAGTGCTTACATTTTACTAGGGGAATTCACAAGAGACAAAGAAATTATATGTCAGCTGTTAAGTTCTACAGTGAAAAATAGAGTAAGGGAGAGGCGCCTGGGTGGCTCAGCGGTTAGGCGTCTGCCTTCCGCTCAGGTCATGATCCCGGGATCCTGGGATCGGGCCCCGCATCAGGCTCCCCGCTCGGAGGGAGGCTTGCTTCTGCCTCTCCCTCTCCCCCTGCTTGTGTTCCCTCTCTCGCTGTCTCTCTCTCTGTCAAATAAATAAATACAATCTTTAAAAAACAAAAAAAAAAATAGAGTAAGGGAGAAAAAGGGATGCTATTTTCTAAAAAAAGGATGAGGAATGCTTTACTGATGTCTTAGAAAGTTTGGGCTGCTATAACAAAACACCGCAGACTGGATAGATTACAAACAAATTTTTTTTTTCTTAAGTTCTATGGGCTGGAATTCCAAGATAAGGTGATTATGTGAGTGCCATCTTTCAGGTCCCAGACTTCTTGTAGTCTCACATAGTGCGAAGGGCTAGGGAGCTCTGTGAAATCGATTTCATAAGAATACTAATCCCATTCATAAGGGCTCGTCCCTCAGGATTTACTTTCAAAGGCCCTACCTCCTTCAAAGGACGTCAACATATGAATTTGGGGAGGACACAAACATTCAGGCATATGACTATACCAACGGAAAAGGTGATTCTTCAGCAGAGACTTGAAGATTGTGTGTGGACATCTGGGGAAGGATCATTCCACGTAGAGGGACAGCTTATATAAAATCACTGAAAATGGAGTATCCTTTGTGAATTTTAGGAGCAGCAAGGAAGCCTTTTTCTGGACTGAAATAAAGGAAGGCCAAAATAGTTGGGAGAAGTTAGAGAGCTAAGTGTGGGAGGAAAACACAGGTCCCTTGCTCGCTGTTTTAAGTGGGATGGGAAACTACTGGAGGGTTTTTAGCAGAGGAGTGACGTCTTATTTCTATGCTAAAAGATCACTTTGCTTACTGTGTTGGGAATAATCCATGGGTAGGGAGAGTGCATAGGCAGAGACTATCATAATAATCTAGAAAAGATTTAGTGGTAACTCAGAGTGGCAGTGGTGGTGTGTATAAAAAGAGTAAAGGAATGGACATGGCTGTGTTCCAACAAACTTTACAACACTAAAACGTGAATTTCACCTAATTTTCAAATGTCACTAAATATTCTTATATTAATTTTTATATACATACCAAGCAAGACAGTCTGCAAAACCTAAAATACTCTGGCTGTTCACAGTTTGCCAAGTTTTGGTATAGATGAAACAAGATAGGACATTAGTTGGTAATCTTTGAAGATGGGTGATGGTATGTGGAGTTTCATTATACTAGTTTACTTTTGTATATGGCTGACATTTTTCATAATACAAAGTTTTTAAAATGTTCAGGTGTACCAGAGGTGATTAATCTATGTGTCTTCCCATCCCCTTTAGACAAATATCTCCTGAAAGTTGTCTATATCTAGTAAATGCAGCCTTTGCTTGTTTTCCTGAAAAAGCAAAAACACTTTGAAGCCTTTAGTATTGTCAAAATAATCCCTTTGGATTGGACATTTCGCAACTTCGAAAGTAGAAGGCAGAAACGCGATTGGGGAAAAGGACTTTTGTTTTTGTTTTGTTTTCACAATAGTATACGCTCCCAAGACCAATCCCCTTTTTACAAAAAATGAAGACAAAAAGCCCCTTTAGTTAGCACTCCAGGATTCTCCGCCCTCAGATGAATCCCGGAAATGACGCCATCAGCCAAATGCTACCGTCCCCAGTAGTGGCAGGGCAAGAACGTCAGCACGTCGGTCATCCTACACGTCCAGCCCGGGTAAGACTGACTGGAACGCCCCAGCTGGCGCCAGTCCCCAAATCTTCGGGAGCACGGCCGACTGCGACTGCGCAGGAATGCTGGGGCGGGTCTTCACGTCACCCCGCCCCCTTCCCGCCTGTGCGACCAATGAACAGCTCCTGCCCCGGGGCCCGATAAATCCTTAGAGGCCGTAGTGATTAGCCGAGAGAAGAGCCCCGCCCTTGGCTCCTCCAGGCCCTCACTCCCCACCTCGCGCCGTCGCCGCCCCGCCTCCCTCTGCAGCCCGCCTGTCCTGCTGAGAGGTGACACGGGGCTTCGCCTGGGGAAGGGGACGAGGGAAGTAAGTTAGATGTCGGCCTAGCGGCCTTGGCGCAGCCCCCAATGTGAGCGCGGTGAGGGGAGCGGGTCGTAGGGAAGAAGGGGCCGCGTGGCAGATGTGGGAGGGCCCAGGGTGCGTAGTGGGGAACGCGCAGTAGATTCTGGGGTGGCTGTGAGGGGGCGAGGTTGACTCGGGTGTGTCCCAGTGCTGTCGGCCGGGCTGGATAGCGGGTCGGTGGATGCCGAGCTCGCGTTGTCCTATTTCCAAAGCTTCCTTTGGCAGCTTGGCACACCTTAGGTTTGCCTCTGTTTTGGTTGTCTGGGATGCGAGGAGGAAATTTAAAGATCCCTGAAAACACTTGCAGGCTTTCTCGGGGTGTTTTCCGTGCCGGTACGTGCGTGCTCCTTCCTTCTTCCCGGACGGAGAGGTAGAGAGGCCAGGTGCGCTGGTCTGCTTTCACTCTCTGAGTATTGTTAAAATAAACAAACCAGGAATTCGTCACCCTCCTCCCCACGCCCTGCCCTGTAACTCAACGACAAACATTCCCAACAAGTTTTAAGAAGCAGACTAGAAAATTCTAAGGGATTCTTTGTCTTTGAAATACAGCACTAGTGAGTGTTGCTTTCTTTATGTATATAGAAAATGAGTGGCAACGGGGCGCATTTTTGGTTATGAGTACTCATCTTTCAGGGTGTGCCCTAGAGAATTTTAACTTTATATTGGTGTGAAATACTGTGTTAGCTGTGATGTTTTCCTGAAGCACTAGTTTCTGTGAACTCGATCACCATAAAAGCTTAGCTGATTGTTTGCGGGAAGTGAAGTGGATAAATCTATAGTTCCGATAAATCTACAATTTTTTATATGGTCTCTGTTTCTAGCAAACCTTTACGTATTTTTCTCTTTCACAGATTATTTAATCGCCCAACTACCACTGATGAAGACAAGTTGGAGTAACTGCTTGAACTGAATTTTACTGACCAGAAGACAGTCCATTTGTTCCACTTTTTGTTTTCCCTACTGCTTTGAGCTTTACTGTAACGGCTGAAAAACTTGGAAAATAAAATGAACATGCTGTGGTCTTGAACATAATTTTTCTTTTTTTTTGAGGAAAAATTAAAGTGCCAGACTGAAAGCCAGAATGGCATCCAGAGAGAGGCTCTTTGAACTTTGGATGCTTTATTGTACAAAGGTAATTGCTTTCCTTTTTATTTCTAAGTTTTAAAATACTTTTGTTATAAAATTTTGTGACTGGCCTTATTTTATTTAATGGATAGTAGCATATTTTTATTCATAGTAATGACCCCAAATTTAAAAGCATGGAGTTTTCTGTTTTCCACTTTCCCAGGTTTGAACACATACACAATATTGACACATTTTTAAAACCTGTAGGTATGGTTTTGATATTTTTATTAAGTGATCCCCAAATTATGTAAGTAATATTATGACCTTAGGAGAAAAGTAAAATATTTGTTAATGTGCTTTTCTTTTTCTCCCACAAATTGGGGGTGGGATAGAGATATTTTTATGAGCCTTCAGCATTTTTACTATAATTAACCTTTTTAATTAGCTTTAAAAAGGTTATTGCTTATGTAAACATGTTATTGATTTGAGGTGGTTACTGTAAGCTTACTGTGATGATAGCACCTTATGAGTATTGTCTCATTTGACCCTCAACAATCCTGTGAGATGGGTATTGTAATTATCCCCTTTTGCTGATAAGAGAATTGATGCAGAGGTTAAAGGGGCTATTGGGAAGCAGAACCACCTAAGTCAAGTCCGTGCTTTTATCCATTATGACTCCTTAATATTTTTTATTTTCGCATTCAAAAATAATTTTTTATGTTTGTCTTTATGTGAGTTTTTACATGTTAGCTTTGATTTTAGGTTATTGGAGGAGAAGGATACTACTTAAAAACATGTTTTTCAAGAGAGGAGCTACAATTACTACTTTGAAGATATTGGCGAGGGTCAGAGAAACATCTCTAATTTACTACTTGAGTTACTTTAAGTCTGTGGTGAAGTTCTCAAGTCTCAGCTTCTGTTTCTGCATTATCCCTTTGGGTTCCTTTTTTATTCAGCTTTTTAAAGAACCAAGTTATTCTTTAACAAACCATCTCAGTTATCTCTAATACTAAATTTTAGAGGTCACACGGGAATTTTCTTTGACTTCCTGGTTTGGTATTTCTTAGAGTTGCTGAAGGACATCTACTTTGAAATGTTTGATACGGATTTTTAAAATAGCTTTTTAGTCTTGTGTAATTTAATGCCAGAAATGTCTTTTTAAAAATAGACCACTCTTCTAATAAAAAAGGAATCTAATTCACCACTTTTGAAAATAGTCACTAACACATGTCAGCCAAAAATTAAAATGCATTTTAGTATGAATGTCTGGTGGTTTAAAAATGATTTGTTTAAAAATACATTTAACTTACTAGGTTTTACATTTTCAGGATGATAAAAGATAAGGGGTTACATTGTGTTATTAATTAGTTATGTTGCTTGTAGGTGGAGTTCCTGTTTTATTTGTCATTGTGCTTATTGAAAAGATAGTATAGGGGCACTTGGCTGGCTCAGTTGGTAGAGCATGCGACTCGTGATCTCGGGGTTTGTGAGTTTGAGCCCCACGTAGGGTGTAGAGATTACTTAAAAATAAAATCTTAAAAAAAAAAAGAAAAGAAAAGATAGTATAGTTTGTTGGCATACCCAGAGTTTTATTCTTGATGACTTTTAGTATAAATATGAATCTTTACTCCTTTATAAGATGTCTAAATAATGAAGACCCTTCATGGTCAAATTTTAAAGCCTGTATTTGGACAGGAAGATAAATCTCCCCCCCCCTTTTTTTTTATAAATCCCGTTTTTATGTTTAAGATTTAAATCAGTTGGGCACTTAATAAGATTTAAAATTTTTTTCAACTATTTTCAAAAATTGTTATTAAAATAATGATTTTATGTTTCATCAGTTCATGTGTAAGCTTGTAAACTAGACAAGTTCTTGAACTACTATTCAAGTAGTTTCCAAATATATATCATAGATTTAACACTTCTCCCTGGTGAGGATGATTACCAAATTCCCAGTTGTTCTCTATACCCTCTAGGCTTATTGCTCTCATTCTAGCATATTGCCTTTCAAAACACCTGCCTCTTTTTTTCACCTAACTTTTAAGACTTATTTTTACACCTTTGATGGGTTATCAGACTCCTTCAGGGTTGCACAGATCTTATAACTTAGCTCCAACTTAGACTTCTTTGTGGGCTTGTAATTGTGAAGTTTAGTTTTGACTCTGCTTCTGTTTTATTTTGTGACCTTGAGCAAGACTTACCTCTTTGGGTCTCACATATTCTATTTCATGTAAGAGTGTGTGTGGTACACGTGTATGTGTGTGTATAGGGAGAATGCTTGTCTAACTCACCATTAAGATTTTCATTTGTTTTGACCTCTGAGGAACGTGCATTTGTTTTGTCCTTATGCTTATGGATTGTCATATAGACCTTTTAAGTTCATCTTCTTTTTTAAGCTTTTCCTTATGGAAAATTTCAAGTGGGCATAAATAGAGAAGATAATACAGTGAACCCTTTTGTATCTGTCATCCTGCTTCAGTCCAGTTCATGTTCAGTAATGTTTTTATCTATAACCCTCCACTATCCCTGCATTATTTTATTTTATTTTATTTTATTTTATTTTAAGATTTTATTTATTTATTCGAGAGAGAGAGAATGAGAGAGCACAAGAGGGAAGAGGGTCAGAGGGAGAAGCAGACTCCCTGCTGAGCAGGGAGCCCGACATGGGACTCGATCCCGGGACTCCAGGATCATGACCTGAGCCGAAGGCAGTCGCTTAACCAACTGAACCACCCAGGCGCCCTCCCTGCATTATTTTAAAGCAAATCCTAGACAACATAATCTTATCTATAAGTATTTAAAAGTATATCTATAAAACAAGAACTCTTAAAAGCATTATCACGATATGATAATTCTTTGAATCATCAAATATCTGGTCAGTATTCAAACTTCTCTGGTAGTATCATAAATGTTCTTATTTTCTTGCTCTTTGACTCAATATTTAAACAAAGTATACACATCATATTTTGTTGAAAATGTATGTTAAATCTTTTAATCTATAGGCTGCCCTTCACCATACTTTTTATTCCTTCTATTTATTTGTTGAAGAAACCAGGTTTTTTTTTTTTTTTTTTAAGATTTTATTTATTTATTTGACGGAGGGAGGGAGAGAGCACAAGCAGGGGGAACAGTAGAGGGAGAGGGAGAAGCAGGCTCTCCACTGCGCAGGGAGCCCGATGCAAGACTCGATCCCAGGATCCTGGGATCACAACCCAAGGCAAAGGCAGATACCCAACCAACTGAGCCACCCAGGTGCCCAAGAAACCAGGTTTTGACATTAGAGTTTTCCTCAGTCTGGTTTTTGCTGGTTTTTTTTTTTTTTTTTTAAAGATTTTATTTATTTATTTGACAGAGACAGCGAGAGCAGGAACACAAGCAGGGGGAGTGGGAGAGGGAGAAGCAGGCCTCCCGCGGAGCAGGGAGCCCGATGTGGGACTCGATCCCAGGACCCTGAGACCATGACCTGAGCCGAAGGCAGACGCCTAACGACTGAGCCACCCAGGCGCCCTGGTTTTTGCTGGTTTAATTCCTTGATTTTAATTCATTGTTTTTCCCTCCTGGTGACTGCAAACTGGCAGATCTAGAGACTTGGCTGATTCATGTTCTATTTGGTGGGGGAAGCTAGAATAATTTGTAAGTGTCTCCACTATCCGTGAGTTTTACCTACATGTATTAATTATTTCATTAGGAGTTTGCAAAACTGTGATATTCCAATTCTGTCATTTCTTTATTAGCAGAACATATATAGACAAGTGTTCTCTTATCAGCTGTTTGACAGTTCCTTAAAGGGAAGGCAGGCAGAATAAATATTTGATTATTTCTCTTTGTTTTCAGAATAATGACTTGATTTACTAGCGTCCTCCCAAGGTGACCAGTTATTTTTCTTAAGTATCAAGTTCATCTTTTTTTTTTTAAGATTTTTTCTTTTTTTTTTAAGATTTTATTTATTTATTTGACAGAGAGAGGGGGAGAGCAGAAGCAGGGGGAGCGGCAGGCAGAGGGAGAGGGAGAAGCAGACTCCCAGCTCAGCAGGGAGTGAGATGCGGGGCTTGATCCCAGGATCCTGACCTGAGCTGAAGGCAGACACTTAACCGACCCAAGCGCCCCTCAAGTTGATCTTTAATGATTAAAATTTAAATATTGTCTGCCATTTTGCTACCCTAGTTGGTGTGCTATACATACCAAAAATTGTATGCATACCTCATTAAAGAAGATGACTTTGGAGATTTTTGAAAGTCTGCTTCAGAGTGGTAAGGTTAGGACATCCTCCGTATTTGCCACAGTGCTAACCAGCATAGGTATTCCACAGTGTATTAGCCACAGATCGATATTAAGGTATTATTACAGGATTTCCATGTAGTGTGATATTTTAAAAGTTACCATTGAGAATTATAAAAGTTTAGTAGGTGTTTAAATAGGGAAATATCAGAAATAATCCTTGGGTCATACTGTTTAGGTAGGCAAAAGAAAAGAGAATGTATAAATATGTTTTCTGTTAGTCTAGGTTTGGTTGTAAGCCTAAATGCTAGTGATTAAAGTCTTTCAAGTACAATTAAATAAATTACTGGTTTCAGTTTTTAGCAGATGGCTTCCCACATATTACACTTTATATTTGAAAATTTGGGTAAAAAACTTGGCAGTTTGTTTTTCTAACCAAACTTTTCAGGTCTAATTTTTCATTTTCTCCTTCTAGGAATAGGATTTATTGCATTTTAGAAACATGCATCTTCTTAGTAGGTTATTTGTTAACGTCATGTAGTTATTATTACATAATAGAGGCAGGATGATTTCTGAAGACCCAGCATTCCTGCTTTCTACAGATAATTTCATTAGATTATGTAGTCTGAACTTACCTCCAAATGGTCATACCCACCCAGGGTTAAGGATTTCATTAACAGTACATTTCATATAGCTCTTATAAGTTAAACATTAATTTGAACAGGTTTAATCATGTATCTGGATTTTAGTTTAATAGTTAACTACTTCTTGTCTGAGCATATTTTTCTTAAGTATTAAAGGCAAATTGATTTACTTTTTAATATCTGAAGATTTTAGTTCATATTATCT